CGAGCATCAAATCTTCTTCCAACATTTCGTCATAGTAAAAATATTCCCGTTCATTTTCTAATTGATTATTTTTTTGTTTTAGAACTAAATCCAAATTTAGAGAGACTTGCGGAGAATCGGTAAAAATCTGAACGAACGGAAGAATTCGAGAATTATATTCGAAAGATTAGTTCCAAGTAATTAGAATGAATTTCTATTGCTATGGTTGAAAATGTTTAAAGACGTTGTGGAAAGGAACGCCTGGTATGTCACTTTGGGCCTTATTTTCATCTCGAAAAGAGAGAATCCAGATATAGTCAACTCGAAGAGTGAGAGAGAGAAAAAGACTGGAAAAACTGGAGGTTGTAAAATCACTATAGTTATAAGTCAGTCAAGAGAGTTCTGATTTTTAGTAAATTGAAGGCTATAAAAAGGCAAGTTGGGTAATTTTTCCCTTCGAGATTTTTCTTATACATTTATTATTATCACGATGATGATGACTTTAAAAATCATGTATTTCAAAAGAATAACGACCGTTGTTACGTCGTTAAATGTCCCTTTTTTCTTCTTTATTGGCCATATAATTGAAGTATTTTAACACTTGTGCTTTCACCGAAATTAATTTATTTCTCTCATTACCATGATAAAAAAAAAAGATGGGTGTTTTTATTCTCATTATCAGTGTGAGACGGAGAAAATTATTACTTTATTGAATTGAGAAAAAAAAATTTTTTTTTAATTTATCGAAACAAGGTTTTGATAAATGTTTTTTTAATTTTTTTTCTCGAGGTTTTTTTTTATAAGAGGGGAAATATTTTGATGGACAGTAAATAGTCAATAGGTCATCGACACCTTTTATTCTCTTCTCATCGATTCAAGATCTCGTTGTGTGTGCGTGTATGTTTGGCTCACACCGCTCGGATAATCCGGCTTACAATTCGACTCAAACACTCTTGCGGACGTGAATGAGAGTAGAATTTGTCATTTATCGCGTGCGAATGTACCACGGGTGTGTTTATCTATTCTCTTTCTCTCTCTTTCTTTTGGTTTGAAAATTCAAAGTGCCTCGGCAAACAGTAGGCAGATGCGCCCAGAAAATCCCTCTGAACATCAAAGACATCTTCCTTCGTCTCCATCACCTTAAACGGAATATACTTTTTGTCATGCGTGTCGTCTATACTCTAATGTCGAGACTCGTCTTTTGAGAATAAAATTCCCGAAAAGAAAAATTTTTTTTAAGATCGTTCATTCAAATTTTTATAATATTGAATTTTCGTCATTTTTTCAGGAACATTTTTCTTGACTACGAAGAGGAGAAAACGAATCAAAAAATTGAAATTATGAAGATAGAGAAGTAAAAAAGAAAAGAATGGAGAAAAAAAGCGGAGATTCTGTGTAAAACAAGAAAGATGGAGTGAATAGCATTTTTAAAAAAAAGTGTCACGCTTATTATATCGAGGAGGGAAAAAAAATGTTTGTCGCACTTTAGGCCTCTCGAGGATTCCAAAAATCCTATTATCGCCTCTGCTTTCAATGGCAATTCGAACTTGTTGACTAGATGGGCATCTCGCCATATTTATTACGCCGTCTTTCTCTCCATTGTCTCGCTCAGCATGCTCAGACGACACGTTTATAGCGCCTAATTACGGTAATTGGCCTCTACCGATACCGACACCGAGGATACGACCGATTAGTACGCTTTCAGAAATCGAAACGCCCATTAAACTGTCCTTACGTTGTCGAAAGTCGCTAACCTTTTTATTAGTTCCTACTATAAAACTCAACTACCATCACTATTAAAAAAAAAGAAGAGAGGAAAAAATATGTTACCGAGAGTTAGAATTGTCAGGATTTCTAAATTAGAGCAAGGCCCTTTCTAAATTGAAAGATTCTCTTGAAATTGTTTCTCCTTTTTACTATTTTCGCATATTTTTCACTTTTTCGAAAATTAATTTCTTTTCCAATTTTTTGTACAAATACATAATATTTGCAAAAAAATTAAATTAAAAAAAAAATATTGGATCTTTTTTTTAATTTGGAAGAAGTATTGAAAATATTTTTTTAATTTGAGTCAAACATTATGAAGGTTCCTGACCTGAAATTAGAATTTGAAATTTTCTGAATGGATGCAAAAGTGCAAAGAGTGAATGTAGAGATATATTTTCTTTTTTCTTGGTTTTTTTTTTGAGTGTTGATACATGAGTGAATATTTCACTGGCACACGACCTAACACCCTATAACATCGCTGGATAGTCACTTGTAAAGCACGATGTAACGATATTAGACGAGTCTGGAGAACGTATGCTTATGCACGTTTTGCGGATGCACTTCTCAAGTCTTGAGCGCTTCTTCAGTTTGTCTTGAGATTCTCGTCATAACTCCGAAATTCTTCCCCGAATCTCTCAAAATTCAACCACAACTCTATATGTGTACATTTCTTTTTTTTTTATTTTATAAATATAGAATTTCTTTAAAAGAGGGAAAAAGATTTTTTTGTATTTTTAAAAATAAATTCGTTGGTGTTGCAAAAAAATTTATTTTTAAAGTGCTTGTAAAAATCGATCCTGCATTTTCTGCGGAAAATCATAGTATAATATGACATTAAATTGAAAAATAATATTAAGTCCCCGAAATTTAATGCAAATAATATTTTTGGAGATATTATGCGATGAAACTTTGAATAGAATAAACTTTCGATAAATTTTAGTTATAAAATGATAATTAGAATTATTGTAAATTTAGTTTGTAACGTTAGAATTAATTTTAATTCGTAACAAAATTCATTTTGCAACTTTCAGAAAACATTGAATTTTGTTAAGAATTAAGTGAAATAAAAATAGCTTTTTTGCCAGCATATTTCAAAAAATGTAATTTTGCATCCACGTAGAGAAAAAATTGGAATATTTAATAAATATTCAAGCATAAAAGTTCAAAAAATTGTAAAATTTTCCCTCCGATTGAAGAAAAAACCGATTTAAAAATGTAATTAAAGAATTGAGTTAAACATACGAGTAGTATTGAACTTTAATTTTTAAATTGTTCCAAATGACAATGACGTTCAGTATATAACAAGAGTGTTAGACTCTCGAGATTTTTGTTCGCGCCCGCGATTCCAGGAATCACAGTGTATATGTTTGTTAATACTTCGGCGCCTTTTGCGGCATCCTTTTGACAAATAAAATAATTAGCCCACCACTTACAATCGTCGCGGCGAAAGTTGTACATTGATTCTTTGCACAAGGTGGTCTCGTTTCATTCCAGTCAAAGTCAAATGCATTGAACCTTGACAATAATATCGTCCTACCAATTTTATTATCTTGTTAGGCGCGTCTGTACTCCGAATTGGGAGATCCTTATGTACTTTCTTTTTTTATTCACAATACATATAAATATACATCTCTCCCCTTAGCCGACAATTAGTGGGAATAAACTTAAAGTTCATATTTACTCCGAGAAAATTGTTTTATCGCTTTTTTCCTTTTCTTATTTGTTCTTTTTTAAAAAAACGAATATACTGGCAAAAAAGTATGTTAACTACAACAAAGCACTCGATTTTTATTTTTAACACCACGATAAAATTTTCGAATTCGAACGAAAAAAAATAATTTATTTATTGCTTTTTCCTTTTTTTCGAATTCGAAAAAAATAGTTTATTTATTTGTTTACAAAGACAAAAAATTTTTAATTGGAATTTATTGCTTTAGAGTCTGGATTTTTTTGTCGTCTAATTAAATTTTTTAATATTAATTAAAAGCGAAATTGGAAAAAAGAAATTTTTATATTTTATACTTTTGTTTGTGATTCTTCGAGTATGTGGTGGTAATTGTTTTAAGTGTATTTTGATGTAGTTAATAACATAAAAATGTGGAATGTCTGCAATTTCGTTTGAGAGGCGCTCTGTCGTACAAAATGGCCGAGCTATTCCCAAGAACACGATCTGGTTTTTATTTCATAGCTTTAACCGGGTACGACCTGCTCTTTGAGTGACAAGACGCGTGATTGACTCGTGCACGTTTCTATTTCAGTCAACCTTGCATTTTTCGAGACATTAAAAGAGCAATTTGCAAAAAAACAAAAAAGAAAAAAAGAAAATCAGCGATTTTTCTCTTTATAATATTTCTCTGTCAATATTCAAATTCTCAACTCAAATTGTTAATTCAAACTCTCGATTTAAATTCTCAATTTGATTTCTCAATTTAATTACTCAATTTAATTTCTCAATTCAATTTCGAAAATTGAATTGAATTTATTTTTTTGAAATTTGGCATAAAAATCGTTTATTTTTTTTCGTTATTAAATTGTACTAACTAATTTTATTTTCAGGCTGATGACGAATTTTTGTTGATAATATTCTCTTAGTTCTAAGAATAATATTTATTTAAGCATTAAAATATTGGAAGTTTGACTCTAATTGAAATGTAAATGTTGATTGGGGGTCTAGGCAGATGTTTCCTCAGATGAAGTTCCGAGTTTCCGGTCTGGATGCCAAGGCAAAATATATTCTACTCCTGGACATCGTGGCTGCTGACGATTACAGATACAAGTTCCACAACAGGTAGAATTTGGGGATCCGAATAACGATTTCCAAAAAGCTCCGTTTGACGATTCGACGACTATTTTTTTGCTTACATTTTCAAGTGACATTTGAAAAAGTCCATTAAATGCAACAATTATTATTATTCGTTCATAATCAAATTTTGTTCCAAATTATTTTCGATTTCAATTTCGATTTTAATTTCTTTTTCTATTTCATTTGCAATGTCAATTCCATTGTCAATTTATTGAATTAATAAAATCAAAATCAAAACATTAAATAGAAAAAAAAAATTAAACAGAAAAAAGGAAAAAGAGCAAAAATATTAAAGTAATTTTCAAACCGAGCTTTTTCGGTATATATCGATATGCAACAATTAGAAATACGAAAAATGCTCCTCGTCCTCCCAAATTTTTGTTGATAAATTCTGTCAGTGGACGAAAGAAAATACTAAAGGTTTGCTTTTGCGATTGCAAATTGTTCGCAGACGCATGTTTCCTCCGTTTAAAGTGAGGGTGTCCGGATTAGACGCGAAGACTAAATACATACTTCTAATGGACATCGTGGCATCCGACGAGTACCGATATAAATTTCACAACAGGTGATTATCGTTTGCGAAAAAGAAAATCGATTAAGACTCATTGTTTTCTACTCGTTCAATTTTCAATTCTCAAAATTTTTTTCCAACAAAATTATTTCTTCTCCGTTAAATTTAAAATTTCCAACTTTATCGAGAAATTAATTTCTTTGATTTGTAATCGAAATTCTTTGATTCTTTAATTCTGCTAATACAGAGAATTTTGAGAAATTTGTTAATTTTTTTTTTTGTTGAATAAACGTAGAAAAATTTAAAAGCACTCTGTGCCTTGATCGGCTTTTTTTTTGACAAGCAACTTGCTTTCTAAAATTCTTAATTAAACGCTAATTGAACTGTGTGAAGCGTGCGCTGCGAACAATTCCTCATACTGGTCGAAATGTTTTTTTTTCAACGAAATATAAGAATATATAGAAAAAAGTCAGAAGGAAATATTAGGAAAAGCTTTTTTTTGGGAAAATGACAATTGTCATAAAATAGAAAACTGAATAATTTATTTTCATTAATCTGGTTCGAGAATTTTTTTTTAATTTTACAGAAATAGATTTAATTTTTGTGATTTACGACTATTTTCTAATGCCAGAAGGCAGAAATGTTATTTTTGTTCATTAGGATTGTTTATCATTTTACCTTCGATAAAAATCTTCGAGATAAAAGTTTAGATTAAATTTTAAGTTTTGCTTAATAGTAAAATTCGAAGCGAGATTAAAAATTCAACTCAAACGGAAAATGCGTAGCGAAAGGAGAATTCGAAATAAAATCGGAGAGCCATAAAGAAAGGAAAACTGTTGTCAAAGTCAAAGTTGAAAATTTTACAAGAGAAATTGATAAAAATTGATAAAAACTGATAAAGAATAAAAATTGACAAGAAAATTTGAAAATTTAATTAAAATCTAGAGTTACGCTCAAAAAAAATGTCTATAAAATAACCAAGTGGGGAAAAAATATAGAAAAATTGTAAAATAAAAAGATTCTTGTATCTAAAATAACATTTCGAATAATTGTTTCGAATAATTGTTTCAAATAATTGTTTCGAATAATTATTTTGAGTAATAGTTCGAATAATTATTTCGAGTAATAGTTGGAATAATTTTTTATTGATTGAATAATTAATAAAATTTAATAAATAAAAATTTCGCAGAAGAGGTCCATTATGGAGGAGAGTGAGAGGAGGAAATTATTTCGACTTGTATGGGAATCGCAAGCTTTCGCATTCGGCAAACGGCTGAGATGTCCGCATCAGGTGACGATGGCGGATGTTTGTTAATATCTCAACTTTATATGGCAATAAAAATCTGAGAATATAACTGTGAGAGTTCGGTAGTCAATTTTGTTTCTTGGGAAACGAGTAAACGGACATCTCAGCCAGCTGAAAATCAACACACCGCAGACAATATTGGGAAGGCAGACCCCACAATGAATTATTCCCTCAAAACCGTGACCGCACGTTTCTTTGTAACTCGTTCTGTTTGGTTTTCAACTTTATAATCACTTAGTTCCCATTATCATGACAAGGAAATGGTATAATCAACGTCACGTGCGCGAGACACTTTTAACAATATTAAAATAATCGCATAAATATTGGAATTTTTTCACAGTATTCAAATATTTAATATGTTTTTTATTTACCTTTTTTTTGTTATTTACGTGAATGTATAAAAAATAGTAAATAATTTAAATTTACTGTTTGTTTTTTTGAATCAAAGTTATTTTTGTTAATCGTTCTTTTTTGTCATCAAAATTTTTGTTGTAATCGAAATTATTCTTTTTTTGTAATCAAATTTATTTATTTTGGTAATCAAATAATTCATTTTCTATAAATAATAATTTCGACTGGAAAAATAAATTTGATTGTGAAAAAAATATTAGTCATCATTTTCTTGTCCTTTTTGACGCAATCAAAACTAAATTTATACTTTGCGAGGTCTGCCTTCAATAGATCCTTAAGGAAACAAAAGTTTTTTGAGAAATAAATTTCCTGTTGGAAAATTAATTTTTCTTCTGCTATTTAAAATATTTATTGTTTTACAAATTGTTTAAGTTATTAAATAGTTATTTTCACTATTCATTTTTAGTACTGAATTTCAATTTTTTGTTCGATTCTGAATTTTTTTGGTTTTTCATTTTTAGAGAGCAAAGAATGTAAAGAAAAGAAAGAGTAAAATTTTTTAGACAAACGAATGAAAAGAAAGAAAAAGAGAAAATTTTTATAGAGAAAAGAGTGTAAAATTTTAGAGAAAAAAAAGTAAAAGTACATAAAATTATTTTTGAAATGTAAATTCTCAAAAAAAACTTTTGTTTCCTTTTTTGCGTATTTATAAAATGAATCTAAGGAGCAAAAATCGGAAAATAATTTTTCATTCACAATTCTCGAAATTAATATTATTTTTCTCTATTTTGTCGAGCAGTAGATGGATGGTGGCTGGCAAAGCGGATCCGGAAATGCCGAAGAGAATGTACATTCATCCGGATTCACCGAGCAGCGGAGAACAGTGGATGCAGAAGGTCGTGAGTTTTCACAAACTTAAACTCACAAACAACATCAGTGATAAGCACGGCTTTGTAAGTACTGTACGTAACGCCAACCAAAAATTTTACTTACTTAATAGTTTTTAAGTTATATAAATTTAGAGGATATAGAGATGCTTTTGCTATTAATCAACATTTTTTTTTCTCACGCTGCTTTAAAATATTTCAGTTTATCCGCGCATAATATGTGACTCACTCTAAATATTATAGACCACCAACAATATTCCACGAATTTCGCGAGATGAGGGTCTAATTTATTTTCTTATCCCATATAAGAGAGTCATCTGCTTTGGGATTATTGGACTCTCTCGATTCTGTGTATAAAAATTAATTTCGGTTTGTTTATTAAAATATTGTTTCCTGCACGAAACAATATTTTAAACAAACCGAAATTAATTTTTATATACAGAATCGAAAGTTTGTAGATAGGAAAGAGAATTAAATTTTTATTTAAAGAAAGGAATTTTATTTTTTTCGTATAGGTATTTAAATACAATTTCATGAAAAAGAATTTCAGTTTTTTATATTTATGCGTATAAAAAATATAGTTTATCACGTTTAGACACTCTTTAAATTTAAATTTAAAATTCTTTTACTAATTGAGTGGGCGAATTTGTTGACCAATTAAATAGAAAAAATTTTTTTACTAATTTTTAGACAAGAATACTGATATTTTCGAAAAATATCTATTAATCGAAATAGTTTTACTTTTCAATAGTTATTAATTATTATTTATTAACAACTATTTTATTTTAATTCGTAGATATTTTACTATCAAATTAGTTGCCTTCTGCTAAAAATTAGTAATTTTTTTACTAAAAAAAAATTTTGCTTTACTTTTTGGATAAAAATAGTCTTTTTGTTGAAAATCGAGATTAAAATTAAATTATTATTAACAGGAATTAACAGTAAATTAATTTTAGAATATGCAAAAAGATTCCGATTATTCAGAAAGTGAAGAAAATTTGGAGAAGAAAGAAATTTTTGTATTTTCAGATAAACTTCACAATTGAAAATTGAGATTAAAATTAATTTACTATTAATTTTTTGAAGTTGATATGAAAAAAATTCTGAATATTCGAAAAGTGATGAAAATATTCAGAAAAAGAGGTTTTTCTATTTTCAGATAATCTTCATATTGAAAATTGAGATTAAAATTAATTTATTATTAATTAATAATAATACGAAAAAAATTCTCAATATTCGAAAAGTGATGAAAATATTCAGAAGAAAGAGATTTTTCTATTTTCAGATAAAAATATTCTTCTTATTCAAAATTGAGATTAAAATTAATTTATTATTAATTAATAATATGAAAAAATTTCGAATATTCAAAAGATGTAGAAAATATTCAAAAGAAAGAGATTTTGCTCTTTTCGGATAAAAATATTCTTCTTATTCAAAATTGAGATTAAAATTAATTTATTGTTAATTAATAATACAAAAAAATTTTGAATATTTAAAAGATGTAGAAAATATTCAAAAGAAAGAGTTGCTCTCTTCAGATGAAAATTGTATCGAGGAGTACCTCTTGAAAATTGAGATCATAGAATTAATTAAATTAACGTCTTTATGATTGGACAAATTGATTACAGGGTTGTGAATGCAGGGTTGAAACAAATTGAAACGAGACAGAAGATTGATATTGAGATTAAATAAATTGATGTGGTTTCGAGAGTGAAAAGGATACAAAGAAGATAAATGGTGGTTTTTATTTTCTTTTTGAAGATTGGTGAACTGTCAAAAGTCTTATAAGAGAAAGAGAGAGAGAGAGAGAGGCGGCGGTAATCCCAATGAGATCGGAAAAGATCTGTTCATTATAAAAGCAAGATAGAACAATCGAGACTATCGGATTTCCTGAGGGATTCTCACCAGCGAGTAATTCTAGGATTAAGTTATCGCGACGGATTTCGCCGTCAAGTACAGACGAGAAACCCTCTTGGTCTATTAGCTCCTTTTCCATGGTTCCTTTCTTGTCACCACCTTCAATCTCTCTCGAGGGTCTAGTGTAGTGTGTTTCATCTCTCTCTCTCGAATAACCGGGGAAAGCTCTTTTTTTCCTCTTCCTTCCTTACTGGCTCTCGTTTTTATTTTTTTTTTTTTCTTGCGAATCTTTTTTTTTTTTTGCGGCAGAGTCGGCATTGCTTTGAAGGATCCTGCATCGCTGGCTCGTGAAATCTAGTCCTTCTTAACCATCCCGATGTCAATGGCTGCTGCTATGCAGTGCGTGGCAGCCGACCTTTGTTAGGCCACTCTTTTTTTACTATCCTCTGTCTCTCTCTTTCCTTCTTTCTTCTCAGCATCTCTCCCCCCCCCTTTTTCCCCCCCACCGCTGTATCTCAGTCTTTTCGTTTTTCATCTCTCCGTCTCTCTTTCTCTCTTTTTCTGTCTTCTATTTTTCTCTCATTCTCTCTCTCTCTCTCTCTCTCTTCAGTAACCATTCGTGTTACTGTTTCGCAGGACGCGAGACAGAAACACGAATGGTTCACCTACATTATGGTCGAGCAGGAGGCGCGCTTCTGCCTTTAAGGACTCTTATAAAACCGGCCTTCGCGTCTCAGTCTCTCGCTCGATCCAGTTTGTGCAGAAACCCATGAAAATGTCCCGGAGTGCTATCCAAAAACCCTTTGCGGCTAATAAGCGTCGGTTTTCACCTGGTACTTGGGATAAAGAGAGGAAAAAAAAAAATAATCTTTTTCCCCCTTTCGCGTTTTTATCGGACCAAAGGAAGATCCTGCTTTTCAATCATGATCCACGTGGTAGCACTCTAATGTTCAAAAGCTATAAAATTCATCCAAAGGGAAATTTTTCTCCCTTTTTTCTATGGGACTAATATAGAAAATATTTATACCAGAGGAATCTTTATCCTAGTATTTTTTTCTTCACTTCAATTTTTTTGGTTTAAAAGAAAATTTCCTTATTTTTCAAATTTAATTTTTCTTTTATACTTCATCTTATTCTTCTTCTTGTTCTTTGAATTAAAGTCTCTTTTTGAATATATTTTTCGACAAAATAATCCTCACTCTGAAAACATTGACCTACAAAAGCAAATAAAAGACCTCTTGAGTAGCGGGAGAGAAACAAAATTTTCCACTTTTGGACACGTTAATTTTCTATTGACTTGTAGAGAGAATATAGAAAAAAGAGAATAGGAAAAACCCTCGATGGTTTTTATTTTTGTGAGAGCAAAGTAAGGAAAATTAGCGCAAATATTGAATTCGTGTGCTTGACTCTAGTTCCAGGGCTCTTGAGGAGGAAGAGAAGAAGATGAAGATGAGAAACGTTTCTATGGGAAATGTCCGGGTAGCAAACAAAAATAAGACTCTATTAGAATCCTTCGAATGCACTTCAGTGCGCCTTAAGCTGTAGAATATACAGGCAAACACATACACGCATAGAAAGGAGACGACGGGGTCGAGGTCTGGTAAACACCGAGGACAAGACGGGAGAGAGAGGCTCTCTTTTAGTTCGAGAAGGGCGGATAAGATGCTGGATGGACAGGAGCGCACAGCCAGCTGCTCCCGTTTTAATTCCTATATACCTTTTCTGAGACTTCCTCGGGCGCCACTTATTCTCTTTCTTTTGGAAATTAAATTTTTTCTCAAACTCTATCGCAAACGAAAATGTCACCTGAGGAATTCGAATTGGAAAAAAGAATTTTCACCTCAGGAATTCGATTTGGAAATTAAAATTGGCATCTGAAGAATTCGATTTGGAAAATAATATTTGTGCAACACCTGTAAGGAAAGTAATACTTTGCATGCCTGTAAAGTAGGCGCAAAACAGTACTTTGCTGCACTAGTGCGGCAAAGAGCTTACTTTGCTGCACTAGTGCGAAAAAGGGCTTATTTTGCTGCACTAGTGCGGCAAAGTGCTTACTTTGCTGCACTTGTGCGGCAAAGTTCTTAAACTTTTGGGTTTTTTGGTGATATACATAGGTATTTGTTTTCTATTTGTAGAATACCTGTTTATTACAGTAATATACGCGTAGAAAACCACGTATATTACGTGCGGTATAACATACGTTCCAAACCCTGCTAAACAGTACGTATGTTGGCGTCAACTAGCGTTTCCAAACAGCTTTTTTTTATGAAAACCAAAAGGTGTTGCACAAAGTACTGTGTGCAACACGTACGAAAGAAGATTTTCCGAGTTCGTGCAAATTGCTGCCCTCGCTTCGCTCGGGACAGCAAACTTTGCACTCGTCGGAAAACAGCTTCTTTCTGTACTTGTTGCACAATATACTATTTTCACCTGGAGAATTCGATTTGGAAAATGAAATTTTTCACCTGGAGAATTCTAGTTGGAAAAAAGAATTTTCACCTGAGGAATTCGATTCGGAAATTAAAATTGTCACCTGAAGAATTCGATTTGGAAAATGAAATTTTCCACTCCAGGAGAATTCGAGTTAAAAAATATAAATTTCACTTGAAGAATTAGATTTGAAAAATAGAATTCTAACCCAAAAAATTTGAATACAAAAATAATTTTTCTTTTTAATTGAGATTATATACAAACTAAAGGAATAATGTATATTAATTAACAGAATTTTTATTTAATATATAGTTTTCTAAAGATTGTAAAGATTCTAATGATTCTTCAGTTTCAAGGAATTTTTATTTAGCAAAATTTTCATTTAGTAGATTTTTTTTTTTGCAAAACAGAATTATCGCAATTTTTACTTAATTGGATTTTTATTTAGTGAAATATTTTTTTAACAAATTTTTGTATTGCGCAGTTTTTTTATTTACTAAATTTAAATCTATCTTAATATTTAATGACAATAATTAATAAAATTTCAGCTAAATAAAAATTAGATTGAAAAAAAACTGCGCTGAATAAAAAAATCTGTTAAAAAGGTGTGAATCTAAATAAAAATCTAATTGAGTAAAAATTACGTCAAATAAGTTTTGTTTAGTAAAAAAATCTACTAAATCAAAATTTCAGCTAAATTAAAATTAAATAATAAATAAAAAAAAAAATTTTTAAATAATGAAAATTCTTCTAGAGAAATTTTTTGAATTAAAACGCTA